ACCTAAAAAGATTGCTTTTGTTTTGTTGATTTTCTTGGTGATGGTGGCAAGTGATTGATCATCTTGTGGTGCCTTAGGTTTGTGAAGATGTGGGGGTGTTGGTTTAACTCTCTCTCTCTCTCTCATATTGAAATTAAGTTTATTATTGATTAATTAAATATTCATGTAGAATATGCTTAAGAGAACTATTATGTGAATAAAGTGTATATTTGGTGTAACTAATTATGATTGTTTGTATAGTGTATATTTGTTTTGTGCCATTTTTTTTTAGAGCAATTGTGATTATTTGTTTTGGAATAAGAGTGCGGTCCCACATAGGCGAAGCGCACTATAAGAGGGTGAGATTAAGTGCACCATATTGAGATTTCATCAACCAATTGATGATAAAAGGAGTAACTCATTAGACTTATAAACTAGTCTCGTTTATCCTACCAAATCAATGTGAGAGACTAACAAGTGTTATTCCAACACTCAAAACTTAACTGCTACAAAAATGAAATTCTTACAAAGAGCTAAAAAGAAGGTAACACTTTCACAAACTTCCTAAATCATATTACTAAAATAATCTTTAGCACTTCACAAAATGTTTAAATTTCCATTTGTCTTGGCCTAGTTTTAATAATAATTATTTATTTCATACTTGGTGACAAGATTTGCGCATCTCATTGATCATCATCATCATCAAATCATCATTGTCTTTTATCATTGTGACATTGTTAATATGTTATGTCTCTTTTGAGTCACTAAAAGCTGCAAAACTGAAATGCATATGTATATGCAAATACTTGTTGTACACGTGTTTCTTTGTGTGTGAGATGGGTAAAGCTATAAATTGAAATGACGCCACATTTGGATTTGATTTTAATTTATAAAACGCTTTTGTTATATTGTGTTCTCCATAAATGACTCCGCTATTTGGAAGTAGATAAAATAAAAAAACAAGCTATGGCCCTCTTTTGACCCGAGATCGGCCGGCCCGACAAGCCAAAAAGGAAAAAAACACGACTCTGAACCGGCCCTTAAGGGGTACGGATCCAATTAAAAAACCGGTTGATTCGGGTCGAGTCAACGGGCCGGTTCGACCCTTGGCCTTCTCTACACCCGAGATAATCATATGGGTTGGTTCATCGAACTATCATGAGTGTTATATCACCTTGCAATATTCCGACAACTTTAGCTACCCCGACAACTTAACTAGGATTACGGCCACCACCCTATTTTGGGAAAAAATTTAAAACTAGTCCCATAGGTATAGGGGATGACATTTTTTGTCCTAACGAAATTCAGAAAATATTAGTTACGCAACTTTTAAAAAATGATTTTTCAAAAATTGTCAATGATTTTTTTTTTGGAAAAAAAAAAGGCTTACCCGTAGGTCCAGCATCACATCAGAACTTTCACCTCATGCACAAAGGTTTTAACCCATTCTATGTTAAGCCCCAACTCTCTTTCTACAATAAGAACCCATCCATGGAAACAATTAAATCTTTGGGGTTCATCAATTGGGCAGGATATCAACTCAACTTGCAATATATGTTCTTTAAGTAAACCCAAATAAAAATCCAGTTCTGGACATTCCTAAACATTTATGCAAAACACAACTGCAACTCCAAAATTCAATAATATCAATTCAAATTCAAACATAAGATAAAGTAAATCAAATTGCCACCAATGGCCAAAGATGATTAAAACGCACTAGATTGCCGATGATAATAACACCCAAAAAAGATCCTCACTCAATAGCTGCTGATGTTCCTCAAACCAACCTTATTAATAATAGCAAAAAGTCTGCGAAGATCAAACAAAACACGAGCCATCGAGCATAAATACTCAACCAGCAACCAGATCAAAACAACCTAGTACTTGTAATCCTTGACATGGAGGCTCTCGGATGCGCCTTCGCTCAGACTACCACTACCCTGGTAGGTCCCGAGTGTTGCCTCGGAATTTGCCTTACACCTGGCCAAGAACGCAGCCTGGGCCTTCGGGATGTTCTCTTCCTTGCCGGCCCACGCCTTGAGTGTGCTCTGCTGAAGGGCCCTCCCGAACGAGAAACTGAGGCTCCACGGCTTCTTGGTCTTGAGCTTGTTCATGGCATTGAGGTTGCGCGTGGCCTCCTCTTCACTCTGTCCGCCAGATAAAAACACCACAGCCGGGACTGCAGCTGGCATTGTGCGCTGCAGGGCCCGAACCGTGTACTCGGCCACCACCTCAGGTGCCACCTTGGCAGCATCCGACCCGGGGGTGACCATGTTGGGCTTCAGAAGAGTGCCCTCGAGAAGAACGTGATGGTCGTTGAGGGCCTTGTAGCAGGCGGCCAGGACACGCTCGGTTACATCCGCACACCTGTCGATGTCGTGGGGCCCATCAACGAGGATCTCGGGCTCGACAATTGGGACCAGACCATTCTCCTGGCAGATGATGGCGTACCGGGCCAGGCCATTGGCGTTCTCGTTGATGGCAAGCTGGGAGGGCTCGTTGGGCCCGATCTTGAGGACAGCACGCCACTTGGCGAAGCGGGCCCCGGCATTATAGTACTGCTGGCAGCGCTGGGCGAGCCCGTCGAGGCCCTGGGTCGTGGTCTCACCGTTGGTGCCGGCGAGCTCGACCGTGCCCTTGTCGACCTTAATTCCAGGAAGGACACCACCCTCCTTCAGGACATCAACAAAGGGTTTGCCTGCAAGATTTCAAATATATTAAAGATAACAACTTTTTGTGTTCTTTTTCTTTTTTAAATCTCGAAATTATCATAAGAAGATTGTGTACCGGCTGCGGTTTTCTGGTACAGAGTTTCCTCGAAGAGGATGACACCACTGAGGTACTGAAGGGCACCAGGGGTACAGAAGAGGAGCTCTCGAAGGGCCCTCCTGTTGGTCTCGACGTTCTCGACGTTGATGCTCGAGAGACGCTTGCCGATTGTGCCGGTGGACTCGTCAGCTGCGAGGATGCCCTTGCCGGGGGTGCCAATGTACGAAGCATTGGCAATGAGCTCATCTGAAAATATGCCACTATATTAAAGGGGTGGAAAGTATGGGGAAAAAATAAAATGCCAGCATATATTAACAGTTTGGTAGAATATGATTAAGAAAATCGAATCACAGTGAGTTATTGATCTTCTATTGGTAGAATATGATTAAGAGAATCAAATCACAGTAAGTTATTGATCTTCTGGTGGATGAGATGTTCAGATCAAAAGTTCATGGTCACTCATAAAATCTATTAAAGTTCATGGTCACTCATAAAATCACTGATTCAATCATGCTAAAACTTGATGACAATAAAAAGAAATTAATTTAGAAGAGAAATCTTAAGCCAAACTAAATCATGATGCCTAATTTATTCGAGTAGCTGTCCAAGCAGGTACAAAAAATCATTCTCTTATCAGAGAAGTTCATAACTGAACGGCAAAAACACACAATTTAACCGTGACGTTCATATTTGATCAGCAAAAAACCCGCAATTTAACGACATAAACAAGATCAAGACTCCAAATGGCACCAAAAATCAAAACCAGTAACCGTAACAAATTGGATCACAACAAATAGATCCAAACATACTTGAATGAGTAACACGGAACAAAAGAGAAGGCAACTGAAGGAATAAATCAGCAGATCGACAACTCCACGGCCACCACGTACGATCCAAACCACACGCAATCAAATCGCAACCAGACAGATCGGATGATACCGATTTCGAAGACAATTCTAGTACATATACAATCCCAAAATTTTCAGATCTAAAACCACCAGCCAAAAATAGAAAAAGGACAATCCAAATCAAAACAGAGAACAATCAGATCAAAGATCTACTGAAAACACACACACGCACACACACACACATAAGATCTACAGGTCTCCATGAGTACAGATCAAAATCAAGCAAAGCGAATAAGAGCCTTACCGGCGTACTTTCCCTTGTAGCAAGACATGGTTACTGGTAATCAGAAGATAAAATACGAAGAAAAATTGAAGGTAGACAAAGATGAGAGTTTTGAGGATTTTTAGTGAAGAAAAAGAAAGGAAATGAGCGTGTTTATATAATAAGAGGGGAGGAAGGTGTTTGGAGCATCGTCATTGTCGCCTGATCTATCTCGACCCCTCCTCCAAGCAAACCCCCTTCACTCTCTATTGCCTTATTTTTCTGCTTATTTGACTATTCTATCCCCAATTGCCTTTTAGCCAATTAACCTACAATTCTTTAAATTTAATGAGTTAAAAAAAAAAAAGAAAAATGTTTTAACCTCCCATGCAAGTTTTTAAAGTTTGACATATAAACTTATTTGTTTCAACGATTTGTCTCTCAATGTAATCGAAATTGACAATTTGCCACTTCGATTAAAAACTCTAATATGACACAAAAGGGTTTTAACTCAATTAATGACAAATTTTAAATTAATCTTTTAAATTGATATAAGGCTTTTAAAGTCCATGGTGAGACGATCAAAATGAGGTATGGTTTGTCCAATTCTGAAAATTGATATCTGTATAATCGATCCACGAAAATAGTAGGAGCACGTGTGTATAGAAAAGATTTCGATTCAAGTTTTTTGATAATCAAGATATCCGATTTTCGACTGGAATGTGTCATTTGAAAGTTTGGAGGACGAATTTTCTATTGAAGTAAATGTTATGAAAATCCAACGGTCGGATTTTGGTTAGTAGTCTAAAAAAAGGCTAACATCGATAAGTAGTTTCCTAAATACTAATCAAAATCTGGCCGTTGGATTTTCATAAGATTTACGCGTTAGAAAATTGGTCTTACAAGCTTTCAAATGATACCTCCCAATCGAAAATCGGATGTCTTGATTATCAGAAAACTTGAATTGAAATTTCTTCTATACACTCGTGCTCCTACTATCTTCTTGGATCGATTATAGAGGTATCAATTTTCAAAATTCAACAAACCATACCTCATTTTGTTCGTCTCGCCATGGACTTTAAAGCCTTAAATCAATTTGAAAGATTGATTTAAATTTTATCATTAATTGAGTTAAAACTCTTTTGTGCCATATTAGGGTTTTTAATCGAGGAGGCAAATTGTCAGTTTCGATGTCAAAAAAATAAGTTTATATGGTAAAGTAAAAAAAGGGCATACTTTGGGAGGTTCAATTTTTTTTTCCCAAAAAAAAATGTAGGGGTGGGCAAAAAAACTGATTTTTTTTTTACCGAAATGGTCTTGTTCTGAAAAATAAGATTTCGAAAGGTTCTCTTTGTTTTTGTCCCGTTCCGATAACGAACCGTTTTAAACAATGTCGGTATCAGTTTTGAACATTTTTTCTGAACCGTCCCATTTGTCCCGTTTATTTTTTTCGTACAAAATATTATATATATATATATATATATATATATATGATAGTATATATATATTATACAATACTATTATATTTTGTATTAATATTATAGTACCAATTAACAATAGGTCATTTTGGTATTCAATCTGTAATAGCATTCTAACTTTGTAATATAATGTATAAAAATTCAAAAGCTCAATTTTCCAAGCCAAAACTAAATAATATAGCCCCCACCAAAAAAAAAGAAAAAAAGAAAAGAAAAACTAAACAGTGCATTTGGTAATTTAGTTTTAAACACAATGCTTATGTTAGATCTTAGATATTAATGAGCAGTGACTTAAATTTAATGGATTTGTATGTTACTTATAATGAAATCAATACTCTTCGATATTTGGGTCTAAGTGAATACTTGAATCGATTGTTTTTTTTTAATCAAAATCATTGAATCAATATGTTGGTTGTTTGTTTTAAATTTTAATAGAATTAATACTCTTTGGTTTAGTTTATATGTTTGTTTCGTTTTGTCCCGGTCTCAAGTTATACCGGTCTATTTGGGACGGTGCATCATCCTGGATCGTTCCCGGACCAGTTCATAAAAGTGGGATCGATACCGAGACAAGTCAAATCTCGGGACCATCCCCGACTGCGCCAACCCCTAAAAAAAAGTATGTTAAAAATTTTGTGTAAACATTGACTAATTATGCGAGTTTAAAAAAAAAAGCATACTACAAATTTTGTGTGAAACAGTGACCAATTATGCGTGTTGGCTCATCTATATTTTTATTTTTATTTATATAATGGACCAAAATTTGTTACTTTAATTAACATAGTTTAAAGTAGGAAAATATTTTCATATTAATTTAGCATATGCTTAGCCTTTATCTATTAGAAATTTTATATATGAACATTATTTACTTTTTTTGTTTGCTCACTTGGTAATATTCATTAGTTATAAATCATAATATTAATTTCGTAATATTTTTTTTGTCACAATTAAAAATATTATTCATTATTTTGAAAGAGTACTTCTTGCTTTGACTCATACGTTTTGTTTGCTCGACTTTTGTTTGACCCTGGGTTTCTCTTTTGATGGCGCAACAGTACTGATCATTTGGGGGAAGGCAGGACAGTGCTGGCTAACTAGAAAACAAGAAATGGACACCCTTAGCTACAGAGCTTCAAACCCCTAATATGACATGAAACTGACCGACTTACTGACGAAAGCGAAAAGTTTGGGTCCAAGGCCAAGGGAATATTCATGTTGTAGGTGCGTCTATGATCTTCTTTGATAGGCCTGACCTCGCGGTTCTCCCTTTAACACCAATCTCGACCTAAAGTGAAACATAGGATAATCTTTTGGGATCTATTATGCAGACAGTCAGACCAAATACCCAATCAATTTCAACTAATGTTGCCTTTCGATTTGAGTTATGGTATGAGTACTTTGAGTTCGTTACATGTATGAATGAATAAGTGATATAAACAGTAAAAACAGTTGTAATATTGACGAGGATAAATGACACCTTTCCATGTATATATGATGAGATTTTCCTACTCCCAAGTCAAGGTTCAGTTTAGGTTTTATTTCATGGGATAAATAACACTTGTCCACGATGAGATCATAATTATATATGTACCAATCGTCCATTGATATATGTCGGAGTCGAACACGCCTGCCCCATAAAGAGTGAAGGGCAAGACTGTTCTATATTTTATGCATTCGGTGGTGGATTTAACCCTGCTGGTCCTAACCGTCGGATCAACACTCACACGTGTATAATCTGATACAATGACCCACACTGGACGAGTCAAATTCACTGCATTTGGACTTGCCCAAGAGAATCTTTCTTTAGCAGATTCATTCATGCACAATTTTCTTTTTAGCATTAAACTTCTTGCATTACATGACAATTGTGAGGAGATCTAAAAAGAAAGAAGAGTAGAATGAAACAGCCAAAAAAAAAAGTGAATTTTAAAATAAGAGAAAAAAAATCAGGATTTCTTCCTTTAGAATGAATCTTGAACGAGACGAAAAGGTCAAGCAAACTACTATGTACGCGGGTACCTGCAGAGACACAGTGCAACACAAGGTTAAGAATCGATGTTAAATATTGCTAGAAAGAGTTATATCCTTAAAAACAAATAATTAAGGTAATAACAGAGAAGAAAATGGATAATGTTTTACCATTTAGGACGACAACAGTCGAATGCTAGAAAAAATACTTAAGTGTTCATAATTTATTGAAATCGAGTGAAAAGCCCCAGATACACGATTAGCATGGCCCCAGATATGCCACCCTTAACAAGCTTCATGCTGCCACCAGTTTCATGCAAGCAATGGGGTTTCTTCATAACTCGTCTGAGCTGGTGTAGGGGACTTAATCAATTGTCTCAAAGAGTCCATGATACTCGAAAAGGAAGGTCGTTTCCAAGGTTCCCTAGAGATTTAATAATCAAAGTGAGAACAGAAGATATGATCAACTCTTGGATTGGTGTGCTAACAGAAATTAAAAAAAAAATGGGTTGGTTCAAATTGCAGTGCCAGATTACTAAAGAGAACTTATTTAAACAGCTAAAAGTTGTGGATGTGTATGCAAGTAAAAAGGTGAGAATGCATGCCGAGAGAGGCTAAAGCAAAAGGAAGAGAGATCACAGGCAGTATTGGATTTAAAAAAAAAAAAAATCTCAGAACGTGATGTAATTCAAATATATTCACCTGTCAAATGTAACAATCCCAAAGTAATTTCAACTTTTGCATAGAACAATGGATATGTAAAGATAATAGATACACGAGATGTATGATATGAAATCGATACGTCGATAATAGATAGGGTGTTAGGTACCTAAAGCCATAGACGCTAAGACCAACTTTCCATTTTATCCAAATAAATCACTCACTTGGCCCAACAAGCTTCAATAAGAGATGCTATTTGGGGATTTACATCTCGAGGAATTTCAAGCCTTTTTCCTTTAAAGCCAACAGCTGCGACAACCTATAATTTAGGACAAGGGAGACTCTTTTACTCAAACAACTCAAGGAAAATACAGATATATGACATGATAGATCATCAAAGTTTAAGAAACAGAATTCAAAAGAATAATGTATGGTTAGACACTGAGAAGGCAGGGAACTTAAATTTGAGACATTTTCAGAAAAAGTGGACCATAAAATATGAATTTCTAACCAAAAACACTAATGTATATTCCTAAACATGCAGATTCTCACTGAAGAAAAGTCTACGTGCAGTTCCAAGTTTTTGAATGGCAGAGTATTTACCATAATTAATACTTGCAGTAAAGTGGTAAAAAACATAACTCTATGATTTGGAGAGTACAAGCCAAAATATAGGTTCGCCAGCATACTCAACATGGTAAAATATATTATAAAAAGGAAATTAGAAGATGATATAACACGGAGTATTCGCAGTCTGAGCAGTAAAAAAAGAAGATCGATTTTAAGGAAGGGCAACCGTAGGGTTCAGCTAAACATATGTTGCTAGGGAAGAGAAGCTAAAGCAACAATGCCACAAACACAATGCTCAAAATCTCTAGCCGTCTTTGTTTTCTTCCATTTTTTAATTTATTTGTGCATGAGAGTTGTATGTGTTCTCTTAATTTTCTACATAAAAGCAGCAGTTTACATACAAATAGAGAACGACATGCCTAAACCAAATGGAAGGATAAACTAATTCTGCATCTAGTTTATTCTGACTTAAATCATTATTTTCCCGTTCATGTTCGAATTGATCTACATTTTCAATAGAGTTTCTGACCGCTGTTCACACAGAGATATAATAAAGAAGATGCAATACTAATTTTCTAATCATTTGTCTTGTAATAATCTCGAGTTCACCAACCTGTGCAGGATTTAAGTTGCCCCAGGGTTGCTGCAAAGTTGCCAGTTCCCATAATATCACACCAAAACTGTACACATCTGACTTTTCATTTGAAGGTTCATCACGGAGAACTTCAGGTGCCATCCACTCGGGCTATAAAACAGGTCAACAGGGAGACACAGCCACAATATATTAGAAAAACGGAAGGATAAAATAAGTCTCTTTATCCACTGGATAACATAGCAGAAGATAAAGGCATCAGATCAATACAGATAAATAATGCCACTTACAGTTCCAGCAGCAGACTTGGATGAAAGAAAGGTGTTTGCTTTTAAACGAGAAAGACCAAAATCACAGACCTGATGAAGAAATTAAAAAGTTGAGTCTAACGGACAGGTTTCATAAAAGATTCCATTTGATAGCATTGAATACAATTAGTATGAGTATGTCCATAAAAATCTGACGGTACCCACAGAACTGAATACTAAGAATGGAAAATTACGTCGACAATTCTAATAAACTTCGCTAAAAGGAATTCACAGATTTTGCTATGAATGAAAAACTTTTGACACGTATAACACTGAGGTGAGACGAGCCATGACACGCTTCCATCCATACCATTTATAGATAAAATACCTGTAGCTCAATGTTACTAATTCCTACAGATTTTTCCTGACGAGAGCTGCCAAAAACTAGCATTCGGTATATATTTAATCATTTAGTGGAAGAAGAGATTTAGGTCACTTCAGTATTCATCTGCATTCAGTATATTTTATCTTTTAGCGGAAGAAGTGCTTTAGGAAATGGAAAACTATCTCATCAGTATGTCTAAAAGGTGCAGATGCATGCTGGAGTAACTTTCTTACCTTCACAGTATACTTTCTATCAACAAGAAGGTTGGGAGATTTCAAGTCTCGATGAACAATAGGAGGATTCCGTTTATGAAGATAGTTCATTCCCTTTGCCTGTACAAAGAGTGAATCGGGAGTTTAGAATATAAAAGACAGAATGCAGATCAGCATTCTATCAAGAGGATCTGAGCACATACCACATCATACGCCATGCTCAGACGACGTCTTTCATCCAAAGCCTCTTTTGCACCAGGTTTATGCAGCAGTCTATAAAGACTACCTCTGAAATGAGAAAACGTTAATCAGAATAGAGCAATCCGAAGTAGAGTAACAACAAATGGCATTAAGATAAGAAAATTAAGTAAATTATACCTAGATAAATACTCTGTTACTATCGACAAGTTTGGCGGTTCAGTAACAGCACCCATAAAAAGCACAATATTTGGATGCCGCAATCTTTTCATAATAGCCACCTAGCCCAAACAAGAAAATGTAAATAAAGCACCAGTCAAATTTGGACAATAAAAGTTGATTGAAGGGAAGTAGACTTTAGACCCTACCTCTCGTAAAAATTCCTTGAACCGCTCAGCATGGAAATCTTGTTCCATGAGAATCTTCACGGCAACATCCTGAAATGTTTGGCACTTGTTAAACCAGACATGGAATCTCAACTATGAAAAATGTTTTCAAAATATTACATGAATAAGGTTCCAGCATTAACCAAAAAAGAGAAACTTAAAGAGGTAACATATACAAAGAGTTGAACGTCGCAGCCACAGATGAAATAAGACATGTTAACATACGTAAATAATAAAATGATAGGTTCTTACACAGCCATTCCATTCAGCACGATGAACTGTTCCGAAAGAACCTGTAAAGGCAACGATACAAATTAACATGCAGCCAGTTCAGAGGACTAGCATATGTTTTCTCCCAAACAATACTCCCCCATCCCATTGTAATACTCCTATTTCTCATTTCCACAAAGATTAGGAAAATTTAGTTAAATAGCTTAAAGAAAATCCAAAAGAAAAAGTGAAATACTCAATTTTCCTGTTATACCCTTATTGCAACTGTCCAATTGTAAAGGGTACAACAAGCACCCAGAAAAAAAAAAAAAAAAAAAAAAAAAAAAAAAAAAAAGAAGAAGAAGATCGAAACGCACCTCAAACTTAAAAGCTGGACTATTGATATTGGGGGAAAAATGCAGTTAGGGGAATATAAAATTACGACGGAGCGAGCAAACTGAACAACCCAGAAGTTAGTCCTGAGCACTATTTAAGAGCAATCAGAAGACTAACCTGCCCCAATCCTCTCCTTCAAAACGAGATCACTCCAGGGAATGTTTAGATCATCAACCTCAAAGGTGAATTCACTTGTTTTAGGTGCAACTGATCGACCTCCTTCACCAAACCTTCTATCTTTACCTGTATTTATTCTTTGATCCAGCATGGAGATAACCGGCTGAACCTCTTTATCCCCAATTGGCGGAATAAGTTTCAAAGGGATCGAGCTTTTGAGTATATTTGTCGAGCTTAATATATTCTGAGCGTTAGAAGGCCTGGAGAGCAATTGCACTTTACCATGAACCTTTATCCAGGAATTTGTGGCCAACGGTTGTGCTTTAGAAATTTCCTCTCGATTGTTTGAACTGGGTGGAGAGTTGGTTCTATCCACATGAGTCCCCTCTGATTGTTTCGGTATATCTCCATCAATAATGGTTCCATCTGTCACAAACAACAATATTCTAACTCTCAAATTCAAGCCAACAGGTTAGGATAGCGATAAATTTTAAAATAAATGTTTAACATTGCAAGTACACCATCACATGGTTGTAGTAGACATGGTTCCAGGGATGCTATAGAGGAGAGCCGCAGATTATTATGAAGATAGATTTACAAGAAGACATGCAACTTGTAGATTATCACCAAAATACATGGGCAGTATTCTAACGAATGTTTGTGGTATAACTCAAACCATTTGTGCCAGGATCCAAATTTCCAATCCCTCTCTCACAATTTTTTATATCAATTGACATCTACACTTGAAGTACAAATCATGAAGCTATTTTAATCTATAACTGCGTTTAAAAATAACCATGCACATAATACAACATCACCCACTTTTGTACAAGATTCTTAATCCTAGATGAAACAAATATTCCCACAATCCACTCTCAATACCCAAGATCTAAATTCTAGGTCCCAGCATCCTAGCTAAAAACATCCCCAAACTGAGACCATTATCCAAACTTAGAGCTTTTAGTACAATCAACTTGGGACCGCAACTTAACCCACCAACACAACAAGCCAAAGTTTTGGATCCACTCCATGTCAGAAATCCCATATCACAAATACTGAAGCCATTGCCCTTACACATAACCTAGGGTTGCACCAAACTCCGCAGAAGACATAGAAAAATTGTTAGGTCAACCAGACTGTTCATACACGAAGACATTAACTTTCAACAATAAGAAGTTTGCCTAGGTTTGATATTAACATTTTAAAATGAAACATACTTGAAACAATCAGTTCCAAAATTCTGCAGAAGAATTGAATTTTGAAAGTCTCAAATGGCCACAAGAACAAGATTCTGCATTAGTGCAAGATTTTGGAACGAAAAGTAATCCGAATCATCTCGGGCAACATAAAAATTTCTTTTCCCAGCCTTACAATGGTTTACTTTAAGTCGCCTCATGTAGCATGAGTTTATCATTCCCAATGAAGATCGGCCAATCCACCCATTTGTCAACAGCCATTTGGCAAATCCAAAGCTCATTATACATGTGAGCATTAACTATAGTTGATGAATCATTGATATAAACACCAAATTTGATTTGTCAACTTGGGGAAGAAATGCAGAGGTCGGGTCATACAGTTCTGAATACCAACAGCAGATAAGATTATGACTTCTCCCGAGTAGTGAAATTGAATTTTAGTGAGAACAAGTGGTTTGGGTAGCATGAACCCACAACTCTCCCTTATGCTATCAAGTCTCTACTAATCAAATTCACACCCTGCGACCTGCGTTTCTTTGATCCATTGAGCCGGATACCATCCAACTTCAAGATCAATTAGCCTTTATCATAATCTTTAATAAGCTAGATCTGTGTTTCTTTAGCCAAAATGTATCCAGTTTTGTTAAACAACAATAGCAAAATAAAAGTAACAGTAATAATAGTACATCAATTATACAATAAAAATTTAATGAAAATTGAAATGACATAAGTAGTCTAAAAGTAGTATTGCAATAATCACGGTTCTATTATAGACCAAAGTGGATTAATATTGTATCTGATCTGGTCAGTGCCCGAATCAATGAGTTCCATTATTCATATAGCCCAAGGCATATTTTGTTAGTATAAACATCAAGAAGTTAACTATAGAAAAATGAAAACCCAAATATACAAAAATATCACCTGTTACAGAATCATCGAACTCGAGATTGAGTGACTGAAAATCTGAGAAGAACTGTTTGGCCAGCAACCTGAAATCAATTGCAGGTACAACCTTCCTAAACCGTGGAAAGCGTAAAGGTGAAGAAATTGCAATTGTAGACGGACCATTTAGCAAGGAATCAGGGTCACATAAGAATCCTGGATTTTCAACTAAATCAATAAGATACTCCCTGTAACACCATTAACAAAATGCATAAATTTGTCAGCTGTAAGTTATAAATATTACGTCCAATATAAACAAAATATAAAACCAAACTTATGCTGACATGTCCCAATTAAGAACATGCATAACTAGCAGCTTTCACCACCTCCAATAAAGTTGACGTAAATAAAAATTAGGCAGCGTAAAAAACGATTCTCCTCCTTTACAGCACATAAGAAACATTTAAAACAAAAACACACTATTAAAAGAGCATTACCTTAATATAAATTAAGATAGTGATGGTAAGAATCTTATTAACATGATAACATCACATTATCTGTTATATTCATGTGAGATCCAGGATACTATACCATAATCCAGTTATCACCCATCTAAAACCAGGGAGTCAAGTAAGAAGCGAGAGTATACAAACTTAGAACCCGAATCATTCCCGTTTCTTAAACAAGGGAATTGCATTGCCTTTTTTGACCCTTTTCTTTTCGTGTGGAAAGGGGTCACTATCATGAACATGCATGTCTTATTGATCGCATCTCAAGCAAAACATATACCTGTCATGCCCAAAACGAACCAAGCACGATGAAGCATCTTCTCTAGTGCAACACTTACATCCTTTTGCAATTCGACACGGTAAACCAATCATATCAGCCAAAACCTGTAAAAGCAATATCTTAATTGCAAACAAAGGAAAACTAACTTCTCAAAATGTGCATCTAAAAGCAAAGACAAATGTGGTAAGGGGCCATTATGCTAAATATGTCTGGAAACGTGGAGAAAAATTGATTGCTTGAGCAGAACTTGGTATGGAACAGTGAATATTGCAGCCAGTGTTAGCCTTAACGCCATCGCATCCATCGCATCCAGACAAGTATCTAGATACAATGTAAAAGACACCCAACATTTTCCTATAATCAACGACATTAGGCCAGCCAATCCTTAGGTTCCTCTATCTCAACTACATATACTTCATCTCTACAACTTAAAATGATACATGAACGGCCACTAAAACAATTATCAAGATAAAAAAAAGGGCCTGGGAAACTATCACATACTTTGAATAGCAGGGTTCGATGCCTGCATAGTCCGATGGACAGGCTACCAATAGGGAGCACTACAGACCTCAGGCAGTCCTTTAAGTCATCACAGCACTCCTTCCAAATTGTAACCAAATCATCTTCCCCACTGGAAGCCGCCCCACTAGAGATGGGAACCAAAAAAAGAAAAACAATTATAACAAGAAAAAACTAGCTGGAAGACTTAACTGGTAGCTCATGGTGCTCACCCCATATGATTACAAACTAGCTTTGCAAGTTGGTCAACAATTTCCTTTGTGGTGATGCAACTAGATGATAAGTTATGAATCCGATCCTGCAGCTCTTTCAAACTGGGATCAGCTCGTCTATCTACAAAAATCACTTCAACTGAAGAAACAATAGTAGGATCAACTGTCTTTAACAAATCAAGGGACGGGATGCGGCCGCTTTCCTGATGATCAGAACACACAGCCCAAACATATGGATCCATCCCATGAATCATGTAAAATCCATCAGGAACTTTGTCGAAGTACGATAAGCAGCCATTTACCTAGTTTAAAAATATTGTTAAGTATGAGATTAAAAAATGCTTAAAATCAACAAATTACCACGACATAAAAGAGAAACCATAAACAAATGCAGAGATTAACTGAGTACACTTTATGATACATTATTAAAACACCCACATAATCATGTGTCAACTGAGATATATTATGACTGACCTATCAACCTGAATGAGCATTCCAATGCTAACCGTTATTTGACTTTGTGTACCATACAATGTTAAGCTGTTACCTATCCCAACTCCAATGAATAATAATGAAGATTTTAACATCTATTCACTATATGTAGTTATGTTAGACAGAGATTTTCCAGATAATAAACAGATTGAAACCAACATAACGTCAATCACTATAAGGCAATTTGATTCATGCAGTGTGGTCATCGGTCAAATGCCACCGAGTAACACGAGAAGGAGCAAGCTCCTTTGTAATAATAAGCAACCTAGTTTCATTAATCTTGCGCTATTTTTTTTATTGAAGGATCTCATGCTGCAAATTTCATGTGCTTGTTTGAACTTTGAGGAATCTCAATTTCAAATTCTTAGCACCTATGTTGAGCTAATATTGAGTCATTACTCTTTGACATTACTAATCGCCTCGAATCCAAGACCTTCCGCAGAAAAAACAACTTTTAAGAAATTTGGTTAACTTACTACAAGACCTAATTATGATTTCGCAAGTGGTCCCTTTGCCTTGACAGACAAAGGGAGGCACCGACCACGAAAAAGACAGAAATTATAGGTAAACAATTATAGCATTTCAAATCACTTCACCAGGTTTGAAGGTACAACTTAACCATTCAACTCCTTAAGAGTTAAAGTCATACCACCACAGTTTATAAGGTCATTAAAAAATCAATTAATTTAGACTTATGAACCAAAATGAATAACAAGAAATATTATATTATAGTGTGCCCGTGAGCACAAGTGCAGTTGATCATTGTATGCGGGATCCTTAAAATAGGAATTTAAATGATACTGGTGACAATGTATCAACCCTATGAACTGCTCTCGCAAACACGCAATGAGTTCTATCTCAATTTCAATTGTTGAAACAGATAATGTGTGTCACTGGTTTTTAGCATTTTTCGAGGAAAGTATATTAAAACAGATAGCTGAAGTGATTGTGAATATATGTGTATTAAAAGAAAATGCATCTGATAAAGTAATGTCTATGATTAGTTATGGTCCAGCAGAACAAATTGGAAGCAAATTGAGACTCGGAAAGCAAACAAATATTGCCTTAGACCCTTAAAGTAGTGCATGTTATTGTCTGTAATCTTTCGTACATTAGCCAATTGCATGATGGAGTAGCAAATTGTGCACCAATTCTTAAATTCACTTTCGTCTTTCGTAACATCATTAAGTTCACACTATCAGTGCCGACCTTGATTTGCTTCAGCATCTCTACACATCAACTCATAATATCTATGTTGTAAACATCAAATTACTTTCACACACACACACACCACGCACACACTCATATATATATGTATATTAATCATGAGCAAAATCTTATATATTAGGCACAAGTTCCCAAAGATCAAAATCGTCTCTATTCTAACAGCCCAAGCAATTAGATAATGAGGGTGTCAACTTTTAGTATCTAAAATTACCTTACACTTAACCATGTAAGTAGGACTTCTTCAACTGCTCAACCTAGCAATTCTTGCTCTTAATGTTAATCTGTGTGACAGAATCTAAGTACCTCCAAGACATACATTTTGTGATGTTTGAAATAACTGTCACCTCATGAGATTTTAATTTTCAACAACTTCAGTACCGATGTAATTAGGTCAATTCGCTTGTAGGCATTCGTCTGCCAATCAGAAACACTTATCCACCTCCACTTACTAATCATGCAAATAACCTATTCAATCCAAAATATAGACAAAGCACTACATAAACCATCCCATCCAGATTCCAATTCTCATTACCCAAAATCGATGGGAAACTGCGTTGGCAGAGGCAGGTGATGAAGATGCAACCGACGAGGATTCCTCTGGCCCCGGATCCAAAAAATTAGGATCGTCGGCACAGGTAGCTTCTGATGAAAGCCGAAGAGCCAAAGCCAGCTGCAATTGGTAGCTCTCCTCCGTCTGCTGCGCCCAGCTCTTCAGAGAAGACGGCGCCCCACCGCTGACCGAATCCTCCGCCGTTCTCACATGTAATTCACCGCTGCCGTCGCTCGGATGACTGTAAGGCAGCTCGGGCCCTGAGAACGAGGGCGGCGCGAAATACTCCCCCGAGATCGAGCTCCCACCGAAGCTGCTCCCGCTCGACTGCCTCTGCAGCCCGAACGACCCCTGAAACGGCGCCGTCGCGATACGGCCCTGCTGCTGCTGCTGGACTTGGATCATCCGCTGATCAATCGATTCCCAATCGAAGGACGAGCCTCGCTCGGACTTCAGTTTACTCTTCTCTCCGGAGTGAGACTCGTAATAGGTAGACTGCTGGGGAGCACCGCCGCCGCTGCCGGAAAGCTTCTTCTGCGGAAGCGGCGGCTGGTGGTAGGCGCTTTCGTCCGGATTCTGGCTCAGCAAGGTGTAATTCGATCGTCTGTTAGGCATTTCCATGGAGTTGTTGCTCGGTCGCACAGGATAGTCAGCTGGAGCTCATAGAATATGGAGCACCGCCATCGCCATGTCTTTGAGGTTTTCACATTTTTTTTTTTTCAGTAGTTCTGTTTTCTCTCCTGTATATTATTCCGTCTTTGGTAAAGTTTCTTTCTTCCAATTATGTTCTCAATATTCTTCTTGCATTCATTTTATACTGGTAATAAGTAATAACACAAGTAATAGTATGGGAAGATGTTGCGGTCCCGCAACCATTTTGGGTTTATAATCGTTAAATCAACTATCTCTGACGATGACATACTAATTTAATGTTTACAAACTCTGACGGAATAGTTCCGAAACGAGACCACAGCATTTCCCAATAGTATAGGTGCTTGTTAAAAAACATAATTTTTTTTATATATAAATAAATATTTTTTAAAATATCATATTATATTTTATGTAAATATAATTTTTCAGTTGTATATTTATCTGTCTTATATTATAGTATTTTTTAATTCGTATATAATAAACTTATAGATAACTTTTATTATGATATTTTTTAAAATCACATATAATAATTAATAGATACTTTTTAAATTTATATATAATTTTATTAATTTTTAATTAGTATTAATAGATAATTTATTATTACAATAAATAATAATAAAATTAAATATCTATTTTGTATATGTACCATTGATATTAAATCGAAGCTAGTCAAAAGATAATTGAATTGATATATTATATATGAAAAAAAAAATGATAACAAGTACAAATCCCATAGTTCGACACATAGGCTTATGAAGCACCAAAATCGACACTTAATAATACCGGACCATTCTACATTGATGTATAGAGAGGGATCGGACATAAATTTTTATATGAGACGAGGTAATATTAAATAAATTGATTCTTTACAAATTTTAAATAAAATTTATAATTACGCTATAGAGTGTTATTCTAATTTGAAAATATATTATCTACTTATAAAGTACCTAATCTTACCAATAAGGTTATTGTTACTTGTTAGAAAATGTTTAAGTGTGTTTTATATTGTTTATTCTATTTACTGAAACAGTATGCTTATTTAACAATTAGAATTGACTAAAATTTTTATTTTATTTGATTGCTGCATTGGTGAATAATTGTATAAACCTACCACAACTATTGAAATATGTTATTTTATTTTCTAGTTGCATTGGTGAATAATTGTATAAACCTACCACAACTCTTGAAATTGCATTGCCCTAATCTTAGTAAAGCATAAATGCTATGGAGCCATCATATGGTTCTCTTATGGAGTCATCCATAACTTTATTATTGACACGTGTTCAATGTGTATTTATTGCATGACACGTGTCAATACACCATTTGTAGATAACTACGGATGGCTCCATAAGCCGAGTCATCCGATGACTCCAAAATTGTCTTAGTAATAGTATGTCTTCCATGTTTGTTTTGTTTTTTTTTTTTTTTCAATTGGATAATTTTAGGCATACCCAGGTCCCCACTCTAACCTCAACTGACTTTTGCTCACTTTTTGCAAATGTGTGCATGCCATCAATGGGAAGCTTGTAAAGTTATTTAGTTTGACAATTTTTATAGGTTGTCATAGTAAAAGAGAGATATTTCCATACCAAGGTAAGTAGTTAGCTCCCAACCCAACCATGTATGTGGAATATTGAACCAATTGTATGTTTTCAATTGAACTAATTCGTTAATTAAGATAAGAGCCACTAATTTTGACTAGGGCACATGGCAATGTCCTCTTGGTGTTTTATATGTGAGTTAGGTAAGGTATTTATCAAATAATTTCGATTCAGGGTCATTAACTCTGCTTCTGGGCAATTGATCTCTTTTTTGAATCCGAGTTGACCTAGTGGCGACCAAGAATTGAATCACTTGTCGCAATGGAGATTCGCCGGAAGTTATTGGTAATATCACCTCCCATAGGGGAACTACCTATGAGCCACTGAACTTGTTGGAAAATAAATTTTCGGATTTAAGAACGGGTTTCAACACATATACGTATTAAGAAATTGTAAATAGAAACTACAAACATCAACCACAAGAACGTGATATGAACCCAAATTTTTATTAGTAAATAAATAAGTTTATTATAAAAACAAAGAACTTTACTGACAGTTCTATATTGCTATAGAATACATATACCCGAATCACAGAAAATATGTTTGCCTTGAAGAAACAGACGCCCCTATAATGTGCAACGAGTACTACGCTTTTTCTCCCAGGATAAGACGGCTCAAAGTGTGAAGACTGCACTATCTAATATACTCACATCGATCAGAACCTCAGTTGCCAAGAACCCTTAATTTTTCTTAGACTTGTAGATGATGAAAGATAATATGTCTATATAAAATGTTGCTTTTCTTTTTTTCTTGGTGTGTTCTCGTATGTCTCCCATGCACTATATATATAGTGCTTCAAATTCATCTTTATTGAATGCATGAGAGATGCCTTAATGCTTTCATCAAGACAAGAGTAATAAGACATTGAGTTTCATCTCACTTCTCAAAACTGAACGAAGATAATGCTCGGATATACTTTTCAATGAATTCAGACATTCACATTAAACACATCCATTTACATTAAACACATCTTTTTATCTAAGGACTCCCACAATATAATTTCTCTTTCTACATGTAAGTCTTATTACAACAGAACCCCTACAGAACCGTGCGCACTTGTTTCTTTGGGATCCGCAGTTCCATCTCATCGAATCGAGCTACATGTATTCATGAACGCTCTCTCTACATAATTGGTGATGTCTGTTGTGATTATCAGTGCATCATTAAGGTGTGAGGCGACACCTCCCAGGGCCCAAAGTCGATGAGCCTGAATTTGTTCAACTCTTCCCGTTTCGTTTAATGCCCTGATGTGTCGCTTTCTGGCCTCGTTTGAGTCGCCATCGGTTGGTCCTGTCACGAACATATGAATTACCTATTTTTTTTATTTTTTTTTTTTT